TCGCATTAAAAATGCTGTTTGATTTCAACTTTTCCGATTATGAGAATGTTAAGTAAATTTAAAAGATTTTCTAGATAAATTTATTTTGTGTTAAATAAATTCACGTGACATTTGTTTACAAAATGATTTTTCACATTAAAACTGCAAGAACTTTTGTCTTTATGTGTGCAAACTAGCTGTTCTGAATTATAACCATTCTTAATCGCATACTCGATTAAATTAAGGAGAGAACTGAACATGTGTAATTCATATTTACTAGGAAGAAGAGATAAATGCTCTGGAGATGCCTGCAATACCACCGGCACTTCGACGCCCCGCACCCGGTCCTGTGAGACGTGGACGAGGAGTTCGACAACGGCGACTGGCTCTCCAAGTAATTGAAAAGCAAATAATAAATACTGTTATGTTATAAGTTGAAATAAGGCTGGACCTTTGTTTTGCGAATTATTAACGAAACAGTTATGCTAATGCGTTGTTAATATTAACTAAGAAAAAGTTAAATTTGGATTTTGATCAACAGTGAGTGATATTCTTAAATAGCCAGATTTATACCAACTAAAAAAATCGTGCCCATTTTACAAGATATGTTGGTTTTACTTGTATCCCATATTGATAGATTTTTGACAGATTTTGCATTTATTTGTATAACTATTTTTTGGCTTTTCTCTACACAGGCAAGAGAACGAGTTGATCCGGCTCCAGTCCCAGCACCGGGTCCAGAGCCAGTACCAGCTGCAAACCCACGAGAACCAGGACTCTGCACTATGTGCCTAGCGAACCCTGCATCGAAGGTGGCGATTCCGTGCGGACATTTGTGTGCATGTACGGACTGCGTTGTGGCCCTAGGGGAACTACGGTTGCACAAAAGATGTCCGTACTGCCGCGGAATCGTCACTGGGTTCTACACAGTGCACATTTTTAAAAGAAAAATTAGGCTAACCTTATTTTGTTTATTTTCTGTATAAGTTTTTGTTATGTTTATTTTGCTGTATAGCCTATAATTTTTCGTACTGAAACAGTTTGTTGTGTTTGTAAATATTAGAATACCGGTAATTGGTTGAGGGTTATTATGTACGGTATTATTGTTTTTTTTTTTTGTTTTCTTCTTCTTCTCCTTTCTAGATCGCCTTTTTAAAAGCTGGCTTGGTTTAAACTAACCACGTAGCCACACAACTTCCTCAGTAAAATTATCCGGGGTTTCTTAAAATGTTGGAAGGATGCTATTTTGGAAATTTTAATTTTAATGTCTTGTTAGGCTATTTAATATATGTATCAAAGTTGTATTTCCGTTTCTTTTAAACATTTCGATGGCTTACATGTAAAACCTCGTAAGTCTGATTTTTTACAATTTTCAAATTTATGTGGAAATTGATTCTACTTTTCATTAGATTCACATTACACAAAGGCTTGTATGTCTATGTTGTTTTCAACGCTATCTACAGGTAGTTGAAAAAACTAGTAAGTCTCGTCTGTCTGGAGCAGGTCAGTAAGAGCTTGTAAGTCTTGTTTGAAGTATAGGTTAGAGTTTGTTCTTCAGTTTACAGCTGTTATTTACCAATACATTTGATTCATCAAGGAAGAAGTGAGCAAATATGAAAAGAAAAAAGGATATTCCTGTAAGTATACTATAATGTAACCCCATATAAGTAAACATTTATTTGATTATTTTAACCTTTAATTGAGAGTAGACTTACCAGGGTTTACATTTGCCCTTGTTTAGACTTACAAGGTTTTGCACTGCTTTTTGGGGGCACACATTGGAGTTATGCTATGTTAATTACTCACGTTTTAGATCAATAGTTAGTTATTAGCCTTATATTATTAGTCATCAGAAGCTATTATTTTTTATGAGGTTCGTTTTATTCAGCCAAGTGCTTATAAAATATATTATTATTGATCTATTGATTATCTAGTTGGTGTAAAACTATTATATTTATCCAGTTTGTAATTTTGTAGGAAAGCAGAGGGAAAAAATGTTAGCAATGGCTTTGAATGAGAGTAGTGGATCTAAAGCTACATTAAATAGCAGACCCAGAATAAATAAAAAAATATTAAAGGAAAATACGCATACAATGAATGACACAGGATTGAACGACAGCACATTGAGTAGTCCTACGCTGAATGATGACATTTTAAAGGAGAATATACCTACAATGAATTCCAGCACGAATGACAAAAGGCATCCCCTGAATGATAGCTTTCTTCAGCTAAATTTTGACTTTGATGTAAAGGAGGTAAGCTGAGGCCGTACTTTACCAGGTGTTAATTAAGAAGTTTAGGACTGACAAAATATGTTTAAGTTATTTTAGACACTGAAATTTTGTCTTAATGACATCCTGACTTGTATGTACAGTGATGATTTTACTTTTACCTTATCTTACTACCCAGCACAAAGATATCTAGCTTTTTATCAAGAATATTGATAAATGCTAACGTTTTCATTATTATAAATATTATATTTTTTACACAGGACGTTTTCAACAGTGCTGTTAACGTTGCTAACGTTTTCCACAGTATGGATGCATACTACGATATTGCTACTACTTTTGCATGTACATTGTTCCTTGGTAAATTTTAATTTGGATTGTTGTTTTTCTTTACAGACAGATGATGATTTACTTCTAAAAGCGGCAGAAGATACAGTGAAAGCACTTCAAAATCGCAATTACTTTGAAAATGTTCTGAAAGGTCAAGATGTTGATGCTGCTTATGGAAACATTTCCAGCAACGAAGATGGAGTGCTAAATAAAAAAAAACATTCTCGACAATCAACACACTATTTTCTCTCATGAAACTTTCCCTGACAATGAAGAAGATGTAAATAAAATAGGCATGGTGTCTGACAACTACAAGCTCAACATTTCCATAAACGAAGATGCAGTTGTAAATGAGGAAAGCATGAACGACCAAGATGAAGTGTTAACTAATGTAACCTTCCCTGACAATGAAGAAGACGTTGATAACATAGACATAGTCCCTGATAACAGGTTTATTATTTCCGACAGTGAAGATGCTGTTGCAAATGAAGGGAACATTAACTGCAATCAAGAGACTGTTTTAACTGATGAAACCTTCCCTGACAATCAGGATGAAGATGAAATACCTATGGTACCCGAGAACCAAGCGGATGAGGAAGGTAAAAAAAGGAGTAAGAAGCCCAATACTTCTAAATGGACTCGAGTTTTAAACAAAAACAACAGAGAACTAGGCAATGAATATACTGGTATAAAAAAAGTTGGTGATAAATGGCATTATAATATTATGAAACCTGCAAAAAAAATGAAAAGCCACTGTAATTGTTCCACGAGCAAGAAAAGCAAAAAGATTAACTGCAATTTGTTTACTGAAGAATGTAGGCAGGAGTTATTCAACATGTTTTGGAAGAAAATGAGTTGGGAGCAAAGAAAAACACACATACAAGCTATGATAGACTCTGATTGCACCAAGGACTTGAAAAATCAACAAAATGATGTCTCAAGGCGTAACTCATCTCTGTTTTATCATTTTACGCTTAATGGGCAACGGATACGAGTATGCAAAACATTATTCACCAATACTTATTGCATAACAGATTGGGTGATTTCAAACTGGCTTAAAAAATCACAGGATACAGTAACTGAGGCGGGGAACAAAAACGTTGAAAGCAAGAAGAGCAAAAAAAGGAAATCTAACAGGAGCGAAGAAAAGGTTTTGGCTCTAACAGAGTTTTTAAACTCTTTGCCCAAGGTGGAAAGCCACTACTGCAGGAAGGACTCAAAAAAACTGTACCTGGAACCAGTTTTTCAGGCAAAGAAGGAGGTCTATGAAGAAAAGAAGGAAAGAGTTTGTTAGCATTAAAAAGTTCCATGAAGAGTTTGATAAACAAAATCTATCAATATACATACCAAGGAAGGATCAGTGTGATCTATGCACTAGTTATAATATGAAAAATTGTGATGAAGAGACTTATGAAAATCATCTTTTGAAAAAAGAATTGGCCAGGAACGAAAGTAACAATAGTAGTGAAGACCATGTTTTAACAGTAGACAAACAAGCAATTCTATTAGCTCCATCATTGAAGGCGTCTGCATTGTATTATAAGTCAAAACTAATTGTGCATAACTACACTGTATTTAACAACAAAACAAAAGATGTTGTGTGTTACGTATGGCATGAGGGGGAAGGGGGGGGGGGTAAATTCTAATGAGTTTGCGTCGATATTAACCCATCACATTGAACACCATTTGCAGCCCTTGCCTCATGAAACTGTAATTGTATGGAGTGACGGTTGCTGTTATCAAAACAGAAATGCCAACTTGACCAACAGTCTTTTAATACTAGCTGAAAAAAGAAATATCGTTATAGTTCAAAAATACCTGGAACATGGTCACACACAGATGGAGTGTGACTCCATCCACGCCCAAATAGAAAAAAAGTTAAAAAACAGGGACATTTTTGTACCAGCTAACTACATAGAAATAATGAAAACTGCTAGAAGAAACCCAATACCATACAACGTCAAGTACATCGATCATGACTTTTTTAAGGACTTTTCCAAATCCATAATATACAGCACAATAAGACCTGGCCTTAAAGCAGGAGATTCAAAAGTTACAGATATCACGGCTTTAAAGCATACCCCAAACAAAGAGGTGTTCTACAAATTGAGTTTCGATGAACAATGGGCATTGCTTACGAAAAGAACCAGAAAAAGTGCTTTATTTGAAAATCCAACAAAACTATACAAAGAACCACTAAAAGTCAAGCCACACAAGTACAGTAGAACCTCGGTTAACCGAGCCTCGCTTAACCGAGACTCCGGGTTAACCGAGGCCGTCCTCGAACGATTTTTTTTATTTAAAAAGCAAAAGAAACACGCACAAACTACGTACAGTAATGAGCGTTTGGGTGCTCCTTTTATCGCAATACGCACGCTAGCCTGCAATGCGTTAAAACTACTGTACAGTAAAATGTTGGCAACTGTTGTGTTTCCTCGGCCAAATATTTGCGTAGCTTAGCGCTTATCTTTGCCGAATGCATACGGCACTGTCACCCGACACCGCTCGCCAGAGCAGCTGCAGGTGTTGTAACCCGACACCGCTCGCCGCCGGACCAATGCGAACTGTTTCAATGCCGAGACGCGACTGAGCCACTCGCTCTCCCCACCACCCCGATTCGACAAAAGTTTTTTTTACAGCGATGAATCTGATGGGGCGACTGAGAAAATATCACATACAGAAGGTCTAAGAATGATCGAGGGAGCACTGGCATCACTGCGCTATAATTCTAACTGGAGGTAGCACTGAATGTCAAAGATGCGTGTCGCCAGCCGCCATGTTTGCGTGAGGTGTGAGTTAAAATGAAGCCATGTTATTGGATGAAAAAACTCACTGCTATACCAACCTAACAAAATCAGCGACACGCTTTTGACAGACTTCTGCAATGGCAGTGCTACCTCCAGTTATAATTTTAGCTCAGTGACTGGCATACATTGAACAACAAGAAACCGCAACAACAAACGATTTAGTTTGGCTGCGACGCTGGCGCAACAGGGCGGCTAGCCTAAGATCCTTTAATCTAAGTCAAAAAACAATAACTGATTTCTTTGGGAAAAAAGATTAGCTTACTTTGTTTATTTTTGTACAATGTACAGTAAATTAATTTTCATTTCTTTGATTTAATTTTGTAAACAGGAATACTGTACTGTAACTAAACTTCTGTACATTGTGTAGCCTATATCATACGTATTCAGTTGTGCAATAAATTGAGTGTTATATTAAAACAGTGTTTAGTATTGTGAGTGTTACCGTTTCCTCTCACGTTTTATTGCGTACTAATAACATTTCTTGTACTAATAAACTAAACAACAGTTCAGTTAATAACTTTTGTTCATGTTTTAGTATATCTTGAGCTATTTTTAGCCCCGGTAACGATTTTTAGGTTACGTTCCGTGTTATCCGAGGTTCGCCGTATCCGAGGTACCCTCGGTCCCAATTACCTCGGTTAACCGAGGTTCTACTGTACCAGCATTTGCAGGAATTGAAGAGTGTGATTCCAAAGGACTTTCATGGTTTCTATGACACCCTAAAACACTGATGGACGCTGATGACATGCACTCGCTTTTTTACTTATTAACGCTCCTCTCAAGGGTCATAGCAATTTGTAATTTGAAACAATTTTAACAATGTCCAATTATTTCACTCTAAGCATAGTATTTTATAAACAAGGTATTTTATTTGATTCAATGTGGTCAAGTTTCATTTATACAAAACCTCGTATGTCTAATAATCTTAAATGTAAAAGCTTGTATGTCTGGCAACAATAAAAAAATAAAAATGTCATCCCTTTGTTTTGTTGCCATAGTAACTGAAACTCTGAAATACTCAATAATGTCTCACACTGTTTCCAAAACAAATTAATTTTTTTAAATAATTAAGTTTTTTTAATCTACTGAAAAGTTGAAGTGTTTGGACTTGCAAGGTTTTACAAGTAAGCCATCGATTTGCATTTGAGTAATGGTGGCCATAGATTGCAATTCTTTTCCATTAGGAGTGTTTGTACAGTTGGTGGTAAATATCTATTTGCTGTTTTTATTTTTTCCTAAAGGCATTGTCTAATACTTTTATACTTGCAAAGTTCTCCTACAAATGATACTTTCCTTGGAAGTGCACTGCTCCAGGACCCATAAAGTAGGATGCAAAGTTATCTCTTACACATTTGCCACTTCCATGAGGTCCATGTCCGAAATTGTTGATATCCACGAATGGATGTGTTTCTGCATCATCAAAGTTTACCCCATCTCTTCTACTTACGAAATTATGCAACACACAGCAAGCTTTAACAATATCATCAATAAAGTATGGATCAACTAAGATAGGGGTGTGAAACACCCTCCATTTGTTAGATAACACTCCAAAAGTGCATTCTACTGTTCGTCGGCATCTTGAATGTCGATAATTGTACACAAGTTTTTGAGGAGTAAGTTGCCGTGCTGGGTAATGGCATAATAGGTTGGTTGACAGCTTAAACGCTTCATAACCTACCAGAACAAAAGGCTGAGGATTGCTATTTGTACTAGGTAGAGCGCACGGAGGAGTAAAGTCCAATTTCTTTGAATAAAATTTCTTTCCAAAACTGCTGTCTTTGAACACATTTGAGTCGCCATCTTTACCCAAAGCCCCAACATCTATTGCAACAAAGCTTAAGTTAGCATCTGCTACTGCCATGAGTACTATCGAAAAAAACTTTTTATAATTAAAGAAATTTGAGCCACCACCACAGGGATTGACACATCGGATGTGTTTTCTGTCTATCGCACCAACACAGTTCGGAAAGTTTGTTTTCACGTAGAATTTTTCTGCAATCGCCAACCACGTTTCCTTTGTAGGTTCTGGCATTTCTACTGGCTGCAGAATAATCCAAATAACTTTACAGCAATGTCGGACGATTTTTGGAATAGTTGATCGTCCAATCCCAAATTCATATTGCAAGCTTGTGAAGGTCATTCCGGTGGATAAATACCTGTAACAAAACAAAATTATGTAATCCATGTAATTTTTTTAAACATAATTTGTTATTTATTTTTTAGTGTAAAAAAGTATATTTTACAACAACTTTTTTTTAAGGGAGAAGAGGGAAAATGCTTTTACGCACACAGGTAGCCAGCCTGTAGTGTGAGACTCCTGAATCTATCGCAGACTACTCACTAAAAAACCCCCTCTACTCTGTTGGACACAGACCTGGAATTGTTTGTCACATTACTTCAAGTCAGGCCAACATGTTACCTAAGCCCTCAGGGCTCTCACCGTTTTTGGCATTTGGATACTTAATGACCTACACCGCATCCCGGTCAAGGTCGAGCTTCTTGGCGCGGAGAATACCCTGGATGTAATGTGACACACAGGTCCAATTGTCCTCACCCTTCGTCATCACCGGTATGACGTGGAACATTTTACAACTACTAGAATGCTACACAATAACAATTTGTAGCGTATTTATAATGTACAATTCGTAATTAAGATAACTTCTAAAAATGGTAAAAACGCATCTTGTCAGACAATCCTTAACATGTACGTTAGTGTATAATTTTACTTGCTATATAAGTTTTAGCGATTCCTTAACTTCACCAGGCTTCTTCATGGCAGGCTTACAAAATGAGCCTGAACGTGTTGTCAGAATACGTTACAAACATTTAACACAAAACATGAAACGATTACAGATAAGACAGCTATCAATTCGCGCGTGTACATTGCCGCGGGCAAGACTGGAAGTAAACTGAATCTAATGGATAAGAAAAACCAAATATTATAGATATGGAGCACAGATTATGCATGAAACAGTCGCCTGTTGTTGTAGCCTTTGATGAAAATACACCTGTTATTGTCAAGAAACCTCAATTTCTTTCAAACTGTACAAATAAACAACGCTTGATATATTTGCTGCGAAACTATTTTCAGAAAATAGGCCACACTGTGCAGAAGGCGATGCGGAGACCCTAATAGTAAAATAAGTTTTAAACAAAGCCAATTCAGATCATGTCACAGTATTAGCTGATGATACAGTATTTTAATCCTGCTCTACTATCACTCTACAAAGACCATTTTAATGCAGTCTGCCACACATTCTGATAAAATTCGTGACATTAAAGCCATTCAAGGAACTATCGGAAAGGAGGCATGCAAAAATTTACTTTCTGTTCACGCATTAACAGGATGTGACACAACCAGTGCATTATTTGGCAAAAGTAAGTCGTCAGCTTTAAGAGCATCATTAAGTCTGAAGGTTTGTGCGAATTGGCTTCTCATTTTGGATCCCGCGAAGAAGTAACTGAAGAAGATTTGATCATCTTTGGATGTCAAATTATTGTGTCACTATATGGAAGTAATGTTGACACAAGCAACCTAAGTAAGTTGGCAAGTAAGTTTGCTTTGCTATGAACTATACATCAGGAAAATAGCTTCAGCTAAAAAAAGAGTTTGATATATGTCATTTACCTCCAACACAAAATGCAGCAAAATACCATCTAGGACTACTACGAGTAGTGTTTTATTTGGAAAAATCTACATATGATCCCACACTATGGGGCTGGCAGTTAGTAGTTATAGAATTTCAGCCAATATTAACGGACTTGAGCTCAGCACCAGACAAACTATTAAATATGATTAAATGTGCCTGCCCAACTACAGTAGACGAGTCGTGTTATTCCATGAAATTTACATGTCAACGATATGGGCTTCCATGTACAGTTGTTTGTAAAAACTGTTGTGGAAATCACTGTGCTAACAGTTAATACCAAGGCAGTTTAAATCTAAATGACGATGAAGATGGGATTTGAGTTTTTTACCTTGGTTATGTTATTTGGATCCCACTTTAACTATATAACTTGTCTAGTTGCCCTTTGTTTGTAAGTTAAACGTTTCTTTATTTTAACATTAAGTTCAAAAACCATACCTAAACTTAGCTTTGTTCATCAGTTCTTTTTATTCTAAATGTATAAATAAAAATTTTAGTCAATATCGCATATGCTATTACCATGGGTGGCATGGTAAAACATAGACCCTTAAACGATTTACTTTTTCATTTTGAAAAAGCACCAAAAAAAAGCAGCCAAAAACACCATTCGTTTATATATGTGTGTTCGTGAAAGCGATAACTTGAGTAGTTTTTGTCTTATTTTGATGAATTACTTCAATGTTATCAAATAATCCCTTTCTATAGGTCCCAGGAAAAAAAACTCAGAGAATTTCTGTTTTGGATGAGAATGGCATTGTCGTTGATGAGCCATCTGAGGTTGCATGTATCTTCAACAATTTTTACTCAACAGTTGTTCAAAGGCTATCTTCTCATATTACCACCAGGACATTTTTAGAGAATTCCAATACTCCTTCTCTGCCATCTTACAAAAACTCCTTCTACTTGTTCCGCACAACTGAGACAGAAGTAATGCATGAAATTATGGGATTAAAATCTCTAAGTCATCATCAGGGTACGATGGATTTTCTTCAAAACTCTTAAAGAAAATCAGTGATCTTATATGCTCTCCGAACTCATCTCATCAATTCCTCGTTTGAAGAAGGGGTGTTTCCGACTGAACTAAAACATGCAATTGTTCGCCCCCTCCACAAAAAAGGCAAAAAGGTTGGTATTAACAATTATCGTCCTATTTACCTTGTTTCAACCTTTTCGGAGATATTTGAAAAGATTTTTCTTTCTAGACTGATATCTTTTATTGATAAACACAATATTCTTTCCCCGAATCAATTTGGCTTCACAAAAAATAGAAGTACAGTCGATGCCATTCACTTTCTAGTCTCATCTTTGACTCAATCCCTTGATTCAGGAAAGGCTGCAGCTGGAATCTTCTTCGATCTTAGCAAAGCCTTCGATACGGTAGATCACAGCTTCTTATTAGACAAACTTTGCTCACTCGGGATAAGAGGTGTGGCTCACTCCTGGATAGAATCTTATCTGACCGGCAGAACTCAGGCAGTTCAAATTCCTTTCATTGATGACAACAACTGTTCAAAGTCTGCATTTTCACCTCCCCTGGCAATAACTGCAGGGGTTCCTTAGGGCTCGGTGCTTGGTCCGGTCTTATTCATCCTTTTTATTAATGACCTGCCAAGTTGTGTGCCTGAGTCTGAGGGTGCGTCCGTTAACACGATAACTTGAGCAAAAATTATCCAATTTTGATAAAATTTGGTACAAACGTGCACGAACGAATACGCAAAATCTCACAATTTCTTACTAAACCATTAAAAAAAAAAATAGTATATTAAAGCATTATTATTCGCCTAATGGTTACGGAGAAAAAAATTCCAAAAAATTGTAAATTCAAAATTCCCATTCTATTCTTATGGAGAATAAGTCAACTGTAGCAGTTTGCTTGTTGATGCACATTGTTTGATCAAATTTGGAAAATACATTTATTTCTTACACAACAACAGTACAGTAGAGTCCCGCTAACTCGGCACTCGATAATCCGGCAGTCTGGATAACTCGGCCATCACCTGGCTCAGAAAATTAGTGATTTTTTGAGTGCTAGTTAATCATGGACTCAAGCCAGCTTAAGTCAAATTATTCGCAACTGGTATTAAGGATTTGTTGTACTATATCTGATGACTTAATACTGACTTGTAATATAAATATAAATAAAAAAGGCAGTTAAAAAGCTTAAAAACTGTATTGTTCTCATTTTTAACCCTAGTTCCCGATAACCCGGCATTTCACAAATTTGGCACCCTTCCAGTCCACATTACGCCGAGTTTGCGGGACTCTACTGTATTAACATTTTTACAACAAAAAACACTTTTTTACCGTCCCTGTTGCAGCAAACCTAAGTACTCGTTAAACTAATTCTAATTAAATAGGGAATAAATGTGATATTTTTAAAAAGACATTTTAGTGTAAAGACAAAAATCATTTCATGTACACTTCTACAATTTTTATTTTATCATAATATACAATTGGTTCTTGAATTATTTGCATCTTTTCTTGATTTTCCGTCCCTTAACTCAAATCATTAAAAATAAATTAAAATCATTAAAATTAAAAAATTAGATTTATGTATGAACTAGCTGTACCTGCGGGCTTTACCCCGTTTTACTTTATAAGTGAACTCGTTCGCATGGCTCAATCACGTTCTGGTTTAAGTTTGTTCGCTACGCTCACTCACCTTTAGGTTGGAGCTCGTTCTCTGCGCTCACCTGCCTTCAGGCTTTAACTATTAATACAACAACTAGACATTCCATCCCCATGTTAAAGCTGTAGCCAGGTTTTTAATAAAATTTGTCTTAGTTGATGTGAGCCACCTACAGATTGCGCTGACCTAAATTACTGATTTCTGCCGATTACACGATGGTTTTTATCAAGTCAAACTGATGGAATGACTTATTATGAGCTATAGCAACTGTTGTGACCCAGCAAATATGTCAGTAACAAAAAATAAGGTACAAAAAAGAGTTTTAGACACTAGCGCAATCTGTGACTGGCTCACACAACTACATTCTTTTTTATAAAATATTGGCGACAGCTGATCCATATAGATGGGATGTCTTCTTCTGTATCCAATAGTCAATGCTACAGGTTAGCTCGTTCGCTACGCTAACTCGCCTCCAGGTTGAAGTTTGTTCGCTACGCTCACTCACTTTTTGGTTGTAAATTAGCTGTTGTCATAAATTAAAAAAATAATAATAGTGCTGCACCCTGTTGGTAATCCTTGTAACTTTAATGCTATTGCACATCATAGAACAGAACCAACTTGTTTAATTGAAACAGCTGTTAAGATTCATTAATTCCATTTAAATATAAGCACTCATAAGGTTTACATGGGAAACTCCAGAGCCACTGGGGCGGAGCCCGAGAGTCCGATCAGAATAAAAACAACTTAGTTTTCCTATTTAATGCCTAAAGAATCAGTGTACCAAATTTCAGCCTCCTAGGTAAATGGGAAGTGGGAGAATTAGTGATGAGTGAGTGAGGGAGTGAGTCAGTCAGTCAGTCAGTGAGGGCTTTGCCTTATATATATATATATATATATATATATATATTACAGAATGATATCTTTTTACGGTCTTTTAAATCTCCAGGGAGTTCTGAGTGCCTAAGAACCCACCATTTAACACATAAAATTTAAAAAAATTAGGTGACAAACTTTTTGTTTAACACCCGGACCCCCTTCCGCTGGGGTCCGTAGTGTCCACAACTTTGAGAAACACTGTTGTAAAACTTCATTGGTCAGATTCTATAATCTAATTCTTTGTTAAGGTATAGACCTTAAACAAAAAATAGACCTTTATTTTTAAAGACCGAACAAAGGAAATGACGACTACGTTGTTAATTAAAAAAAAAAATGTAGTACCAGTAGTTTCCAGTAGCCAAAAATCTAAGACCTCTCTGTGGTAGCACGAGATGATAGTCAAAGCGTACTGCCTGAAATCAAGTTGGGCTGGAGGGGAGAAAAAGTTATTATTCAAATGAAATTTGACGGTTTCAATGTGGAGTAGTGTTAACGTTGTAGAATAGCATCACCTTACAATAAAATGTATGTAACAATATACCAGTATTTTTCAAAAAGATCACATTTTTCATTTTCCTCCTTTTTTATTATATTTTTTTGTTTATTTTCTTATGTATACCATTTACAGGTTACAATAAAAATAATCTGCATTAATCAGAACACTATTGGTAAAAATTTCACTCTCCTGGCAAAGATGTCCCTCTCCTGACATGAACATTATTTAAATAATTATTTTAATTATTTGGACAAGATAAAGTGTAGGCACTTAGGTGTGTTTAGTAATATAACCCAGTCAACAAAGCTAAATGAGTAGGAAAAAATAGTGTAGTCCCGGATTCTTGCACAGTTGTAGGGGGATACCCTCCTGAACAACACACTGTACTAAAAATCCTGACCGGTGGGGTGTGAGCTATTAGTGGGTGGGGGGTGTAAGTGCTAATTATTTTACTTCTCTGTAAATTTCTCAAAAAACGGCGCCCTTTAGCGGAAAAATGTTAATGTACAAAATAAAGAGCATTGAATTTCAAACAAAAAAGGGCCTGTTCATTTTGTGCCTAAAGTCAATACTTAACAAGATACAGGGAAATATAAGAAATATGACGTACAGAAAAACTAGTTTTATTGTGGTAAAGTGATTGTTTTATATTACATCAAGTGATATAAATTAATAATAAATGTAATAAAAATACTTGTATAAGCAGTACAGTTAAGTAGTAAAAAGTGATGGAGGAAGGCTGGGGGCTGGAAGCTGAGAGACGAACCAGTGGTAGCCAAAATAACATTCTGTAACTAATATAAACTTACAGAAAAATAGTTTGAACTAATTTTCAAATGTATTAAATTTTATTATTTTTTACTTTTAGTATTTAAAGGGCTTAAAGCAACGAATGTAATGGTGATGACATGTTTGATTTGTGACAGTGTTGTGGTTGACAACTAGGTATAATAGGATTATTGAATGTTAGCATTTCAATAAAAAAGATGACAAAAGTGATGGTTTCAAAGACACAAAATCGGTGTTGTACATAAATTTTGCAGAAAAATACATACTAGACTGAATGGGAGTACAACATCCTGAGACGCATCTATACAGTTGCCGACCTGTTCACTGTTGGTGCGATGTACCACGAAGATTGTCAGAAAAAAATGGTATAGCATCCAAAGGAACTTCGAGGAAAAATGGCGGCCTCAAGATGAAACGGTTTCTGAAGCAATGGATAAGATTTTCAAAAATATTGAAGCTTATATCGAAGATTACTGCCAGTTTTCTTTGGATCAGTTACTTCATTAAGTAGTTCAGTTGGTTTATCATCTCATTAGGTTTCAGGACCAAAATCTACCTTTAAAAAAATCAAAGATAGGAGGAAGGATAAATACAAGGATCGCATTAATTTCAGCTAGATAAGCAATAAAAAAATTGATTGGTGCTATGGGTGAAAACCCCCTGAATGATATGTGGTATGTTTCAAAGTTTAAAGATAGGTACAGAATCAGAATGAAAGAGGATTGTCCAAACCGCAGCCAAAGTAATATTGGAAAATATTGAGACAATGACAAATGAAAATTTTGTTTTTTCACCAGCCAATTCTGTAGTAGTGCAGAAGAAATGGTACCTGAATCACTTTGGGCCTTTCTGGACTGCTTAGCAACAAATAAAAGATCAAAACCCAAAGTAGGAACGAAGTTGATTGTCATAACTGCTCTGATCGCTGTGGTTCGTCCTCAATCTTTTATGTCTCCTCTCCTACACAGTGTTGCTCTGTATATACACAGACAGTTTGGGTCTAAAACCCTTGTTTAACTACTTGCAAGTTTGGGGATGAGTGGAACCTATCATCAGCTCAACAGCTAGAGCTATCAATTGTTTTTGGGAGAAA